AATTCAATGAACAATAATAAATGCCCACTAAGAATACAACAACCTCCCAGGAGCAGAAGCAGGCGGACTGAAGAAAAGCTCTTGGGTCCCCTCACTCAGGAACCCAGGGGTAATTCATCGAGGCCCGGCCCCGCCCCTCAGGCACAGTCCAGTGTAGACACGACTGGCAGAGCCAGAGGCCACAGTTAAGAAACATCAGTAGGGACCAGCTGTTAGCGTAATGGCTGTGTCGCTGGACTCCCATGTAGTTAACCATGGTTCGCATCCCAGAGCCAGTGGCTTAAACTCACGCCGGGCACATGTGTGTGCGTGCCCAAGATTCCGAGAGGAGAATGGAGGAGAAGGGATTGTGGCGTGGCCATGATATATATAAATAAATGTCGGTATTCGCTCTGGAAATCAAGGGGAAGGGAGACAAACTTAAATTTGAGCCGTAAGAGGAGAAATTAGTTAAGAAGGCAGGGTAAAAGCGTTAGTTCTTGGCAGAGAAAATAAGTCCTGGGAAAAGAAAAAAGAGAACAAATAAAGACATAAGAAATTTCAGAAATAAATAAGAGCTTTAGGATGGAAAATAAATAACATGCTTAATGAGAACAGTGACAAAGGGCCAAGAAAATTTCAAGTTGGGCCTCTAGGAAAATTACACGGGCAGGGACGGAAAAGTGACAACAGCAGCAATAATTTAAAGTAAGTAAGTGCAGTTGGCCGCGGAGGAGCTCCAATTCCCGCTGGGGGTGCTTCCTCCAGGACGCCGGCAGGGCGAGGCGTGGGCGTGGCCCTGGCTGACCAGCGCTCCGTCAAGCCCCAGGCCAAGCCCCAGGCTCCAGGGAATTAGCGATCCCAGCTGGCTAGCAGCCGCAGCCCGAGGCCGAGGAGAGACGGAGGCCTCCGTGCCGTTATCTGTCTGTGCCGAGTTCCTCTCCTCTCCCCTTTCCTGTGTGAGCAGCGTCCATGCGCAGGACTGTGGAGCCGTGGACAGTTTCTACAGAGCTGCGTAGACTGGACCCAGCCTCGAGGTGAGCTGACAGGGAAGTTTGTACGTTTCCGGAATGTGAAAATCCACGCAAAATGCTACTTCTATAATCACTGATCAGTAGTACAAGGAATCTTAAAAATTTTCATGGAAATGTCATACTCACGAATCAAATGCACACTGTATTTGAATTTTGGGAGGCACCAAAATCAATTTGAGCTTCAATTGTTTCCACAAACTTTGAAAAGTCCACTCCCATTTATGAAGCCCAAGGCTGGGAAATAGGTAACTGGCCAGGAGCAGGGTCTGGCATTTAATCGTGTATGCCTTCTGGACAGCCGTTTCTCCAGTGGGTAGAATGGTACTGGCTCCCTCCCAAGCATTTCAACGAAAAAGAAGCTAGAAAGTGCTTTAAAGCCAACAAGGGGCGGTAAAGCAAAATGATGCGGTGTCTTGATGTTGGAGTATGTGTCAGTGCTGAAAGCCGCTGGCTGGCCCAGGCAGTACACCCAGACTCGGAAGGCCGGGTTCACCGAGCTGGTCACGAATCGAACTCATTTTCCCTGGCGTCTCTAGCTGACAGACAGCATGCTAGTTCTCAGGAGGAAAGCAGAATACAGCTCACAGTTTCTTCCATTATGAATCTCATGACTTAGCAGCCGAGAGATGTTAACACATGTAACTACAAAGGAGATTGCGGTTCAGGTTTCAATCAAGGCTGTGGTGCAGAGTTTGGAAAGAGCGTTTACGATCACAGCATCGAGCCAAGTCTCAAGATGCCCAACGCCTTGAGCAACAGCACTCGAACCAGAAAGGCCGCAGGACTGGGCCGGGCTGGGCAGGGCTGGGCAGGGCTGGGCCAGGCTGGGCAGCTACGGACACAGCAGTTACACTGCAGGGCCTGGTCCTGTTCTCTGCAAGCTAGACAATTCTCAAAGAAAATTCTGAATTCTATTTGTCGTCATTTAATGGCTCTAGATTCAGGCACAGATACTCAGGGACCACATCAAGACTCAGTTTAAGGCAGGACACAGTAAGATGCGTGCCGGACGGTTTATTAAAATGTTTGTTTTCATCTTAAATCCTCAACATCCAAAATGAGGCTCACTTATCAAATCAAACACCCAATGGCATGCCACAGACCTGATGCATATGCAATCTCTGAGTCAGGAGGTGGTTATACTTCTGAAAATGACGCTCCTAGAGGTCTGCTAGTTATTTACCAGAAGTTTGTGGCTCTTAGTGGCCGTGCAAAACAAGAACACAGATCTTTTGAGTAGTTTCTGGATTCAAAACTGATCACCACTTTTGGCAGACTTAAATCAGGCACTGTGTGGAAGCAGTGACTTGAAAGCAAACAGCACAAGAATGGAAAACGAGTCAATACGTAACATTTGCGTTCTCTTTCACCTTTTCTGAGTGGAGAGAAATATTGATCGGGGGAGATCCTGTTCTTGTAGACCTTCCTATGAAACTCGAACCTGTAGTTAATATGGACACACATAACCACATATTTCAGAAGAGGTAAGAGTACCCTAATGATTCGGAAATGAAATTTTCAAATGACTGTCTTAGACTGACAAGCAGATAATAGAATAAGATATTGGAGTATTTTATTCTACTATTTAATAAGATTTTTAAAAACTCAACACATACTGTACATATTTGGGCATACATTTTGACTTTCAGTACATAAATACGATGAGTGATAATGAAATCAGAGTAATTAGCATACCTGTGATTTAAAATATGCCACTTCTCTGTGCTGACAACATCCAAATCCTCTTCTAGCTAATCTGAAATATCCAATAAACGATGAACTGTAGTCACCCTCCTGTGCTGTGCAAAGTTAGAACCTGCCCCTTCATGGAGCTGTGACTGTGTATCTGTTAACTGCATCTCCTCAAGCTGTGACTGTGTATCTGTTAACTGCATCTCAGCACCCTTCCCACGCCTGCCCTTCCCTGCCTGTGCTAATCGCCCCTCTGCTCCCCTTCTGGGAGGTCATTCCTTCTTTTTACATATGAGGGAGAACATGCAGTATTTCTCTTTCTGTGCCTGGGTTATTTCATTTAATGTCTTCTAGGCTTGTCCATGTTGCCCCAGATTACAGGATTTCATTCTTTATAATGGCTGAATATACACTTTTTTTAAAAAAAGTTTTTGCTTATTTATTTTTTATGCCACAGAACGTGTGCATAAAACAGAGAGACGAGGCACCCGCCACGTCAGTCACATAGCAATCTGTTTTCCTGCAATTATTCAAGGTACAGTTGTTCTTAAGTTATAGTTTATTAATTTATCTAATACGTAAATTAAATCTAATATATAAATGAACAGAAAAGGTAAATAATAGAGAGGGCATATATTTTTCTCTTTAATCTTTCACTGCTTTAATGGGTTGAGCCAACTTTAGAAACATTCTAATGTTTATGTTGCCACACATTGAATTCATTACTATGGTATTTTAAGGAATACAATAGTTAGAATGACTTTTCTTTTTTTATAATTTTAGAAACTGTTTTTAATGAATACAATTTGCTTTGCAGTTGCCCTTTTTTCTAACGTTCTTATTAGTTTTTGTAACAAGGTCAGGAGAAGCTCATAGAATCAGATAGGTGTGTCTCTCTTATGAACCTGCCTAGAATTTGTGCAGATAATGGTTGTACAGGCACCTGCAGAAAGGGTGACCATAGCTAAGAATGTCTAAGAAGGAAGAAAGCCAATAGGCTGGAAGGAAAGAAGCCCTAAAGTTTCGCTGGTGCCTGTCATACACACAAGTGCTGTAACTAGTATTAAGGACGCTGGATCTTTTAACAAAGGAACCCTAAGAGGTTATGGAAAAAGTTAAGTTTCTCCTTTTCAATACTTCAACTGAATTTACTATAGACCATGTAAATAAATGAGCATTTTTCCTGAGTAGAAAATTGGACCAATTAAATTAAAAACTTAAATAACCGTGCATATAACATAAGGAAAAAACCCTAATTATGCATGTTTCTTTAAATCATAATGTCCATGACCAGAAGTCTTGAGTGAAGTAGGAACATTTAAAATTAGAAAACATTATCTATAAACTAAATCAGCAGTGTTTTTCTCAGGTCAAGTTTATAATATTTGACATGGAAATGAATATAAAATTTTCTCAAATATTTTATTTTAAAAAGGAACTAAAAAGAGCATCAAAAAGATGATAATGGAAATAGTATCATTTTTCAAAACAGTAAAAAGCTAAAAAATGTGCAATTTAAGATTGTGAGTTATTGGGACTAGCAGTTAGCACAATGGCTATGTCGCTGGACTCCCATGTAGTCGACCGCGGTTCAAGTCCTGGACCCGGTGGCTTAAACTCACGCTGGGCTTGTGTGCATGCGTGCCCAAGATCCCGAGAGGAGAATGGAGGAGAAGGGATTGCGGTGTGGCCATCCTCCCTGGGGGTGATTTCTCGCTTTCTATTTCTCCCTGTCTTTCTGGAGAATGTATATGCCCTATAGCAAAAACACCCCACCTCAAAAAAAAAAAAAAAAAAAGGATTGTGAGTTATCAGCCCAGTTACATATTTTGTAGTTGTAAAAAATATAATTATCAAAAATGTATGAAACTGCTCACACGACAAAGTGACGGCGATTCACTTGCCGTGCACACCCTGGTCTCTACCCGACACTCCCACGAAGACAAAGTACATAAAGACTAAGAACCAATACACCAGCTCGCGGGCGAGTCCTTCCCTATTTTCAAGGTTGTCATGACATTGCTTATTTTTATTTTAAGAATTATTTATTTATTTAATTTAATTTGTTATTGTTATTTTTTAATTTGACCAGAGAGAGAGAAAGGGAAATTGGGAAAGAGAAAGAAAGCAAGCTGCCAGGTCTAGGACTCGAACCATGGTCAGCCATGTTGGGGTCCAGCACTTTAGCCACCAATACTGGCCCATGACATGGCTTGTTCGCACATGTGAGAACAGATGGCTTCACCTCTGCTGTTTTCTGCAAACCCCTTCCCTCAGCTGCTGACACCGAGCGCCATGGGGACAGGGAATACGTCGGAACCCACCGACTTCACGCGGCTGCCCAGCCCCATGTACCTGCTGCTCAGCCAGCTGTCCCTGATGGACTTGACCTTGACCTCCAGCGTCGTCCCCAAGATGGCAGCCAACTTCTTCTCCGGGCGCCGAGGCATCTCACTCCTGGCTTGCGGGACCCAGATTTTCGTGTCCCTGACGGTGGCCATCTCGGAGTGCATCCTCATCACGCTCATGTGCTTTGACCGCTACGTGGCCATCTGCCACCCGCTGCGCTACCCGGTGCTGGTCAGTCCCCGGGAGTGCTCGCGCATGGCCGCCGCGTCCTGGGCCGCAGGGGCGCTCACGTCCCTGGGCCACACTGCCTTCACCCTGCATTTTCGCATCTGCAGCCCCAGGGAGATCCCTCACTTCTTCTGCGAGGTCATGGCTGTCCTTCGGATCGTCTGTGAGGACACCTCGTCCTACGAGAAGGCGGTGGTGGTGACCAGCATTTTTGTCCTGCTGCTGCCCCTGTCCTTCATCCTGTCGTCCTATCTTCTCATCCTCCTGGCCATCCTGCGCATGAACTCCCCCGAGGGCAGGAGCAAGGCCCTGGCCACCTGCTCCTCTCACCTCTGCGTGGTGGGCCTCTATTTTGGTCCAGGGATGTTTATCTACATGAGGCCTGGCTCTGTCAAGACGCCAAGGCTCAATCAGGGGCTCTTTCTGTTTGAAACTGTCCTCACTCCTCTCCTGAACCCTCTGGCCTACAGTCTCAGGAACAAAGAGGTTCTCAGTGCACTGAAAAAATTGATGAAGAAGACATCGGTACTCCAGTTAAGGGGCAGAAATTTCATGATCAGTTAAAAGAAATACAGGGATATACCAGCAAAGGCATTTTGTTTTCAGTTAGGAAAAATAATCCTTTTGAAATAAAAAGTAAACTATTCTTGTTGAATTGCACTTATCCCCTTTATCTGCAGAAACATCTATGTAAACTCATTTCTTCCCTCATACCGGGACTTTGTCCAATTGTCCCAGGCATTGTACTAATGAAGGAAAGTGATCACACCCATCAATCCCCTTTACTGTACCTCTTTGATGGTCCTGCGTACGTGGTTCCATGAGGAAAGGAACAGTCGATGTCTGCTTCTCAGAACTCAGAACATCACCACACACATGGGCAGTGGCTCAGAGCGTCACTGGTTAAATACACGAGGAAATGACACGTTGTTGAGAATAAGTAAATCTGCCAGTGCTGTTTTATCCACCTGAGAGGAGTGTTGATTCCTGTTACTGTCTGAACATCAGTGTGTCCCGTGGTGGCTAGCTACTCATCTGAATTAGCATCACTTGTGGTCTCTCCCACAGATGCCAGTTCTGTGTCCATCTCAAATCTACTGAAATAAAAATACAGTCTGTGGCATGGGGCTCAGGGATCTGACTGGCAGTGACTCTCACCCATACCAAAAGATGAGAGCAAGTGACTCATTTATTCGCAAGTTACTTTTCTAGACTAGTTTTGCAAAAAGATTTATCAGCTATGTATTGGGTTGTCAGGAAAGTCATGATGTGTTTTTCTATGCAAACATGCATCATGATTTTCCTGACAACCCAATAGTTTCCTGATCTCTTTACAGAGGTTCAGGATGGGTTAAATTTAAAATCTAATGCTTTTATTTTGAAAAGTAATAGAGAATAAACTTTTCTGTGTTTGGGACACTTCATGATTTAAAATTTTTGAGCACAAAAAATGTGAAGAGTAGAAACAAAGAAGAAAAAGATTAATGACTGAAGATATTTTAACATAAAATACATTTTAAGCAGGATGCATGAAAGGTATTTCAAACAGGTTGAATTGAAAGATGAATAGTCTGTATAGATATAAAGAACAATAAGAGTAATTTACACGTGGATTTTAATGACTGAGTGAAATAACGGAAAAGAAATCACTTTTTAACTGAATAGGAAACACTCAAAAGGAGCACCAACATCCAACAGCTTCACTGTCCAAGTTCCAGGAGACAACTGGAGGCTTTATATCAGAGATAAAATAGCTGAGTTTCAGAAAACTGAAATATTTGTAAATTATATTTTTCAAGTAACAAATAAAAACTTACGTTTATCATGTACCATATGTTATTTAAAACATGAAAACAGTTTGAATGGCTACATTGAACTAAGTAAGATATGCATTACCTCACTTATATAATATGACATCTGTAAAACACATAAAATCTGATTTATGAGGAATTTTCTCCTCTTTGTAGTTGCCAGAGTATGCATACTCTTGCCAGAGGAAGAGAGACTGAGAGAAAGCAATCCCCAACCAAGTGTGGTTGTGCCACAATCCTTCCTCCATTCCTCCCTCTCGTCAGGATTTTGGGCATGCATGTATACATGCCTGGTGTGTTTTCAAGCCACTTGTGATGGGATTTGAACTATGTTTGGCCATGTGACAAGAAGTAATCAACAAAATAACAAGAGTCAGTATGTACCTATCTATAATGTAAATGGTTAAGTTTGCCAATCAAAAGATTTGGCCTGGCTGAATGACTAAAAAGCAAATAAAAAAATTCACTCATATACTGCCTACAAGAAATTAATTTTACGTGAGAAGACACAAATTGACTGAAAGGTTAGAAATGAAAAAGATACCCCATGCAAAGGAGCCTAAGAGGAGCACAGGTAGCTATCCTCATATCAAAAAGTATAAACTTCAATTAAAAAACTGTAAAGTGTAAATTGAAAATATTCTTCTCCCATTCTGAGAGTTGTCTCTTCACTCTGATTGTTTCCTTTACTTTATAGAAGCCATTTAGCTTCATGTGATCCTACTTGTCCATTTTTTGGATTATTGACTGCAGTACTACTCAGCCATGAGGAACAATGAGACCCTATCTTTTTTTTTTTTTTTTTAGAGGTTTTTGCTATAGGGCGTGTGTGCTCGCCAGACAGACAGACAGAGACGGAGAGACAGAAAGCAAGAAATCACTCCCCAGGAGGGATGGCCACGCCTCAATCCCTTCTCCTCCATTCTCCTCTCGGGATCTTGGGCACGCATGCACACGTGCCTGGTGTGAGTTTAAGCCACCGGGTCTGGGACGCGAACCGCGGTTGACTACATGGGAGTCCAGAGACATAGCCATTACGCTAACTGCTGGTCCCAAGACCCTATCTTTTGATTCAAAGTGGATCTATATAGAAGACTTAATATTATGCAAAGAGAGCCAAACTTTGAAAGATACACACTGTATATCCCCACTCAATAGGTAGCTAATGTCTGCATTCTGTGGCAGAAATGTAAGGATCCAAAGATATGGTAGTAGAGCAGATAAATGTAGATACCAGAGACTTCAAAAGAGGGAATTGAATGGTAGAAGATGGGTGGGAAGGACAAACGGTTGGGGGGCCTGGGATTAGAGCCTTTTGGAGGCCAAAGCCAATTAAGGTTTGTATTTACGAGTAAAACAGTATTGAGATCCTGAGACAGAGCTATCTTGTCCCCTTACTAGACGCAGGAGTGTCGTATTGCTCATGTATTTCTCTGTGTTGCTCCACTCTGCACATGGTCCCAAAGATCATGTCTGAAGGAGCCAGGTGTGATTATGGGCACTGACCGTGGCATTAAAACTCATCTCTACCCAGAGTGTCTCGTGTCTGCGCTCTTTCTGCATGGCTGTGTCCCTAGTCTTATGCTTCAGGTCCTTAGGGCAGCTGTGGTAATAAATTTATTAAATTATCTTTCTTTCTCTCTCTCTCTCTCTCTCACACACACACACACACACACACACACAGATACACATTCTGAAATGAAAATCTCACAAAACACCATTTGCCCTTGTTATGTGAAATGCATTCTGGTATTTTTTAGTCCATTCTAGTCTGTTGTGTTCTTGTTCTTTTTTTTTATAAAGGTCTCACACATTTATTACTGAACCAACCTACCAATGCAGAACTTAGAGACAAAGTGAAGCATCATTTTTTTCCCAATAAACACAAGTGTCCAGTCAGTGGTGACCATTTTCAGCTTGATATGGCAAGACCATAGTGACCTTGGTACAATATAAATATGTGGGCCATATTCTGTCCAGTTCCTCATAGGCCCAGCTTGGTTGTTGTCCAGTGTCTCCTCTTGGAGTTGTATCTGATTTTATTACCTGTTTTCATTCTAATCCACTGGGGAATATGACAATTTTACTTCTGTGTTTTGGCCAGAAAACACTTGATTCTGAAAATCTTGTGAGAAGACATAATGAAGAGCCTAGTGGACCACACACACCATGATGGCAGAGA